TGAACTCATCCAAATTTCAGACAGGAAAGGTCATTATCTTTTTTGCTTCTAGACTAGAAAAGACTAGATTAAGTGTAACTGTATGCATGTTACCAATGGTGATGTGTGTTCCGTCTTGTCCAGGCTTTATTCTTATGCCAGCAAAACAAAGTAGTTTTTCATTATGTAAGTGAATAGTGAAAGTGAATAGTTTCTGAACAGAATTAATTTAGAAGAACCATTATGCAATGACAATTTCAAAATCACTGACCTGACATACAGATGATTTGCAGTGGTTTTTATTCTACTTTTTAGGCTTATGTTTTTTAAGCTGCTAGAGTGTGTTCCATATGTTCAGTGGAACACAAGCTGTTTTCCACACAGTTCTATGTCAACAAAACTGAATATTCAAAGTATTGTCTAAACTCCTAAAAACTTCAAAGTATACTTAAAATTAGTGGAATGTCCCAGATCACAATTACAGTCCCAGATCAAAATAACACTCTAAAATTGCTACTTGTTATAGAGAAACTCTAACAATGAAGTCCCCATGACTTTAAGTGGGTGTCCTGAAGATTTTTAAGCATTTAAAACCAAAGGGTTTTTTTTTTCTCTGTGTTTACATATCTGTTGGTTTTTCCAAAAGAACCTTTGTTTGGCTGAGACATTTATTCCATGAAGGCATCCTGTGTTGGCTTGAAGGTATAAAGATTAGAAAAATCCAGAACTCTGTTATCAGTGACAGTTTGTTTTAATAGCTGGTCATGTTAGAAATGTGTGCATCACTTGCCATTTGAAATAGCCATCAGCTGCTAAACACTCATTCTTGCTATACCTTCTTCTACTAGACTGAATGGCCTTTTAGTACCCCATATTTTCAGTCCCTGATATCTGAAGTATATATATTTTGCATTCAATGCCACTCTTAATGTTTTTTTGTTAAGCTAAGTGGGTTGAGCTGTAGGTGTCATCTGCAGAAATGCATTTTCTATTCCACAAGTAATACTTGTCACTGTCTTCCATCTTCTCTCTGTTTTTTCCACCCCTTTTTCCATAATGTGGACTAGAGAACTTTTTATGTTATTCTGATACATCTCACTACTATCACATACATATAACCACTATTCCCTTATTATGTTCCCTGATTATGTTGTCAGTTTTTGCAACAAAATTGCATTGACAGTTTATGTCAAATTGTCTATATGCTGTACATGTGTTATTTTTATGGTACAGTCTTAATTCTGCCAATTATGAAGTCTTTTTCTCAGTATATAAGTTTTCATTTGCAAAGATAAATTCATTTTGTTTAATTCAGTTCAACCCAGTTCCCTATTTACTTCTATTTCAGTTGCTTTATCTTTGGTCGATTTTAGGGTATAAATGTTTGTTTAATGCTTGCTTAGAGACATGCGATCAAAATGATAATTAAGACTCTGGTACAGAAAGGTGTGTATGTAAATGATTAGCTTTTTCAGAAACTAAAAACTAAGTAGAGTACTTTTGCAAATCTCATTTGTTATTCCATGGTTCAAAAAATACATTTCCACAGTTTTGAATCAAAAATTTATGGAAATCTTCAGGTTTGCCGAAGAACTTTCTGGTTCCCACAGAAACCTTCAAGTTCCCAGAGAACATATCAGCACAGTCAGCCTAACATACTGAGGTACATCGAAAATAAAAAAAAAGGAGCTGGTAAATGTGAAAAAGAATTTAATTTCAAACGTGTGTTTGCAATGTAAAAAATGTTCATGGCTTTAAACTATCGTGTCCACTTTTTGAATTTTTTTTTTTGGCTTTTGTCCCCCTTAAAAAAAAAGTGAGAAAAGTCTCTTTTTTTTTTCAATTTTGTTTCCCTGTTTTGCTATTCATTTCCTTACTGATAGTAGCAAAAGGGAAAAAAAATAAAAATTAGGACATAAGTGGAGAAGTTCTCTCAGTCATGTGAAGAAATTATAATTTATTGCAACTACTATTGTTGCAATGATTATTTGAGACTAAATCTTCTGTAATTTTTTTTAAAGCTTCTAATTCTGTTGGAAAAAAGATAAAAAATAGACTCCCCAAATGAAGTCTAACTTTAGCAAAATTTTGTCAGATATAATGTTTAAAGCAATGGTGAGCATTAGAAAAATTTAAAGGGAGAAGTTTTGGACCCCTCACCCCTGACAAACTGTAGAACATTACTGTAAAATCTGAGCCCTTTCTAATTACCAATGGGGTGAAACAAGGTTGCGTTCTTGCACAAACCCTATTCACAATCTTTTTCAGCATGATGCTCCAAAGGGCCACGGCAGACCTCGATGATCAGGACGGTATCTACATTCAATATCGTACTGATGGAAGCCTTTTAAACCTAAGGTGACTGAAGGCCCACACCAAGACCTTAAACCATCTTGTCCGGGAGCTGCTTTATGCTGATGACGCCGCCCTTGTTGCCCACACAGAAGCAGCCCTGCAGCGTTTAACATCCTGCTTTGCAGACGCTGCTGAGCTCTTTGGGCTGGAAGTCAGCTCAAAGAAGACAGAAGTTTTCTATCAACCTGCACCTCAGGAAGTCCCCCATCATCCCCACATCACCATTGGCCAATCAGAGCTCAAATCAGTCCAGTAATTTAATTACCTGGGCAGCCTCACCTCCTCAGACAGTAAGATCAATGGGGAGTTAGACAACAGGTTAGCAAAGGCATATAGTGCTTTTGGAAAACTCCATAAAAGAGTAATAAACACTTGAAGAAAAGTACCAAGATCAGTGTTCACAAAGTCATAGTGCTGTCTACTCTTTTATATGGTTCCAAATCATGGGTCATCTACCGCCACCACCTGCATCTCTTAGAACGCTTCCATCAACGCTGTCTCTGTACAATCCTAAACATCCACTGGTCAGATTATGTGACCAATACATCTGTTCTAGAGCAAGCAGCAGTCACAAGTATCGAGGCCATGTTGCTGAGAACACAACTACATTCGGCAGGACACGTCTCAAGGATGAAGGACCACCACCTCCCTAAGATCCTGCTTTATAGTGAACTTGCCACTGGCTGCCGCAAGAGAGGAGCCCCGAAGAGAAGATACAAGGACTCTGTGAAACAACATCTCAGCCTTGGCCATACTGATCAACATAACTGGTCTACTCTGGCCTCCAACTGGGCGGCCTGGAGACACACCATCTGGAGACACACGCACGCAGGATCACTCTCAAGGAGAAAAGACAATGCAGAAAGGTTTTCAAGATTTTTGTAGCAGAAGAATGGCAACAGGATTTTGTAACAGGCAAGACCATATTTATGAAATTCCTCTCTTCTTCCCTGCTTATTTTTAAGTCTTGATTGAGCACTGCCTTAAAATAAATTCTCCAATAATTGAACAAAAGTTTGTATTATCTCTTGAATAATTCAATCAATATATTCCACTATCTACAAAATTAGTTAATCAGCAAAATATTTGTCAGTCTATTCAACCATACAATATTTTTATTCTAATCTTAAGTAATATGCAAGAAATTTTCTTCCATTTTGAAAGATGTTATGCAGATGAAAGGAGCCTTCGATGTAAATTTTTAAAGAAAAGAATGTATGTGCTTAACTATTGAACAGTTCCTTTTAATCTTAAAATTGCTTAGGGTACTAATACTTCTCTGTTCTAATGCAATCAATTTGAATGGAAATAATTTATGCTATTGAAGTAGAACTCTAAGTAAAACTTGCTAACCTACTGAAATGCATTTACTTGGCACAAACTATACTGTAAACCTTCATCCAAATTTTTGAGCAGTAGTTCAATTAGAGTTCATTGTAAGTTGAAAACTGTTATAAATGTGGTTTAGGATAAGGACTGAAAAATACCAGTTGTAAAATATAGAAATTATATGACGGTTTTATAGACAATAATAAAAATGTGATTTGGAGTTTGGTTTTTTTCCTCACGCATGGACTCAGCACATGAGATTTTCTCTTTATAGAAGTTTGGCACAAATTTGAGAAATCTGTGAAAAGTCCTGCATATACATGGGTCATATTTCCTTTTTATATTAATAGTAATAAATATTTATGATAGATGAATCTTCACGCCCTATATGCTTTTATTCTATTAGGTTAAAAAAAACAATCTTACCTTCGCTACAGCAAGACCTGAATCAAGACCCAGGTTTTCTTTAGTCAATTGCCTGTAATTGGCACTTGATCCAGACTTAGTTAACCATGCCAGTAATAGGTTCCTGCATTTCTTAAGTTAATACATATTTTTGAGAGCCCAATGCCTGTGTCTGTCTACGTATATATAAAGACAAGGGCACTTTATTTGGTCCCAGCATTAAGCCTCCATTTCCTTTGGGAAGTACTGTAGATGTATATACATGTACTACTTTTCCTGAGCTCAAGAAATATCACTTGTGCACTATACAGCCTTAAAAAATGGGTTTTTTAGAGAATGCAGGATAGAAATTATTCATGTTTCTATGAATATAGATACTTCTGACTAATAAAGCCAGGAGGAACTGTGAACTGCTTCATCCTCTCTCTGCATGCTTCATTGCTTTTCTTAAAAAGTGAGAATAATGATTTCCTACCTTGCTTTTCCTAAGAGTCCCACGGAGCTGAATGCTTGTAATACTGTACTATTCCAGGCACTGTGGTGATAAGGTCCATGTAGTGGACCCTTCTCTCCACTCAAGACTACCAACACCAGAATTGTAGACCCTGTTTACTTTGTTTGGAGGCTTACCTGCTGCAGTAAATCCCAGTCTGTTAACCACCCACTGGAAATATGCATGCTAATGATCCCACTCAGCCTGATTTATTCTTAGTGAGACACCAAGGTGGGCAAACTGGGCTGAAGTCAGCTCACCAGCCCAATTTCTGCAGATTGGGCATAGCCAAGGAGTCCTAGAAGGAAGAGGACTAGCTTATACTCAGCCCTGCAACAGAAGCGCAGGTAGAAGAAAGGCACACATATAGTTCCAGATAAATTTTTACTTATCCAGTTTAATGCTGCTGATGATCTCTTCAGCAGTTCTCTTCCCAGTTATTCTTCAGTCTGACTGAATGGGCCTGCAAACAGCAAATAACAACTCGTGAAACTAACGTGCGTATGCCTGCTAGTCACCAGCTCTGCTCATGTGAGTTTCAAAAGCCTTGTCTGACCAGTCCTGACATATGGAGCTGCTCAGGGATGAATCATGAAAGAAACATATGGATTAAACATTTATGGCATTAAGAGTCTTACTGAAGCAGAAGGTGGCCTGTGTAGGCCTATAGGGATGATTCAGAGTCACCCTTACATTTTCTTGAGGGTGAGAGGAAACTTTATTCCGTTTAATGTCATATTTGCAAACTCACCACTCCTTTTATATCTGTTTAAAAAGTTCACGATAAGATTGCTTGGAGAAAAACAGCATGACTTGGTAATTAGGGTGCAGGATTAGTTTGTGTAGCTGATAGCATTCCTTCGAACCACACTGATCAAACCTCATGTCTTTCCAGATGCAGGGCTACCAAAGCAATTTTATGCACAGCAAGGCTACAGATTTATGTACCTTCTCCAGGCTGTATTCTTATTACTGAAGTCATCCAGTCTCTAGCTGTTGAATTTTTTCAAAAAGCCTGCTCAATATCTGACATTTAAAAAAAGAAAAAAAATATGCAGAAAACAAGTTCAGTACTCTGTCTTCACTGAGGATGTTGAAATCTGCCAAGTTAAACCAAAAAACTCTCATAATTAGGGCTAGTGCTTTTTTACACCATAAGCAATCTTCAAATCCCACTTGCTCCTGCTGTAATGGAAGTAGCTGAAACAAGAAAAAGGCAGAGATTAATACACTGTCTGCACTGCTGGTCTGCCCATCTCCTCCCTGCTTTCCAGCTGCTGGGGGATGAGGATGAAATCGCAGGCCCTGTGAGAGTGGTTTTCAAGTGGTCCTGAACCGGAACTTTTATTTCTGATGCAAACTAAGAAGCTTTTGACAAGGCAGCTATTGGCATCTGGCATTTTTGTAGCAAGAATGCATGCATTTGAAAGCCATTTCCTTTCGCGTTTGAAGAAAATCACAAAAGGCAAACTGATATAACAGATGTATTATAAATAGGAATAAAACACACATGGCTAATTCTTAGCTAGAAATTTCATGAAGCTTCTCTGATGTTGTATCCACACGTGTGTATATAAGTTATATATAGTTAATTCTGTATTTGAATATGTGCATCTAATTCATATGCACTACTCATAATTCAGTCACATAATGTGATGCACATTCACTATGCTGTGATAAATATATATATCACATACCTGTGTGGTAATCACAATCATTTTAGTTTAGCTTCCATTTTTCTTTCAGACTCTTTCTTGTTGATTTCAGTTGCAGTTTCTTCTAACAAAAAAAATGCTCTGAAAATTTTAGGAATCATAAAGTAAGTAAAAATTCAGAATAATTTTTAGTTAACTTATTTTTGTGAAAAAAGGAGGTTTTTATAATTTATTGACTTTAAAATGGTTTGGGTAAGATTTGGTTTTAATACTATAAATTTGGGAGTTTTGGCTTTTTCTGAGTGTTCTGGGGATTTTTGATTTTGTTTTTTGTTTGGTTTGGTTCGGTTTTGTTTTTGTGAGGTTTGTTTGTTTGTTTGGGGATTTGGAGGGTTAGTTTATTTTCTTGTTTGGTTTGGGGGGTTTTATAGGTAAGTTAAAGCTTCCCACCATATTATTTTGGCTTGTATGCAAAAAATTGTTTATCTCCGTTTTTACAATTTCTCAAAAATCCATTTTTTCAAGCAGTTTCCAAAGCATTAGTCCCAACCTTGAAGTGAGATACATATATGTATGGGAACTGTTAAATTCCCTCCAGAGATCTTTCAGTCTTAGCCTTTGTGTTAAGCAACAAACACTTAGATCACAAAGACATGGATTACTATAAATTGTGAACGCATAACTTAATTATTTTGGAGGTGTGATTGTAGAACTGGCAAATTATTTTTTATTAATTTGCTCATGTCTCTATCTCCTGTCCATGGATAGAGGCTGTAACAGAGATTTCTTTCTTACATAGCTGAGAAAATCCATTTGATTTAAAACCAGCTGAACTTTATTTACCTAGATGAATTAATACCTTCCCTTCGAGGAAGACTAAAGCAGTGAATTATACCTAGTCTTGGGCTGAGGGTGATCAACTAGGAAAGGGAGCTATCTCTAAGGAGAGGGAACAAGAAAAGAGTGAAGGGAACAGAAATCTTTCTAACTATAGTCCTCCAAACTCTCAGCAGTTTTTTTCCGTCACAACTTCTTAGTCTCTTTAAACTCTCCAAGCCGAGCCCGCCAGAAAGTTGCTATAATAGTTCATGGTCAAAGACATGGTGGATACACCCATCAAAGAGAAGCAGCCCAGGATGCAATTTATAAATGTTTGCCTTCAGCCCAGACCTATGCATACTAAATAGCCTAAACAAGGTAGGTGTGTAAATATTTTGTAACTTCATAACACTATTAGTAGCAATTTGTAACTGTTAAGCACTAACCCATAGATAATAGTCATAACTGCAGAGAGGTAAATTGAGATTTGTAGCAAAATTGCACAGATAAGGTGCTGGAACACCTATGCAAGTAGTAAGCTAATGATGTAGATCAGGCATGAAAGAAACCAAAATAATCTTGCAGAGCTTGGTGGAATCAAAATAATCCTGAAGAATAAGTGAGATGAAGCCAAAAAAAAAGATGAAAAAGGTTTAGTGACATCAAGGGTATTTGAATTTCCCTTTTTCTTTCGAACAGAGAACATAAAATAGCAATCATAAGCAAGGAAAGGACAAAAAAGAAAGAAATTGCCTGCCTTTGTTCCGTAATCCCTTTTCACAGGCCTTTAAGCATTGGCCACCTTGAACTTGGGCACTGAGACCATCGAGGGACCATAGTCATGAAGAACATCAACTCCATCATATTGTATACTCATAACTAATTTAGGATAAGCTTGTTTAAACCTATTTGAAAATACAGAGAGATAATTAATAGTGAATAAGAACTAATTTTTAGCAGTGTGGATTGCCGATGAATGTCAATCTAGTAAACTATTGTTTCCAAATTTGAAACAGGCCAAAGTTTTCAGTCTTTTAAACATTGCTATCACAGTGATCTCTAATTCTCTTAAAAGACATGGATATATTTCCATATATATACATATATATGTATAATCAGTTGCAATAAGTTGAAGACAACTGCGATTATGAATCATGTTAGTAAACCTTGCTAAGAAACAGGATATCTTAGCTTAAAATTCTGCTGATGATGTAGCTATTGGTTAACTGGTAATGCATACAAAGTGTGTATAGGTCTGCTTGTGTAAAACTGCAAAGATACACTGTGGGAATGGTGCATTTTCCAAGGCAGTATGCCTCCAATCTCTAATAGATCAAAACAATACTGATGTGATACAATCCTTTGTACACCAACAAAAATGTTATAAATAAACAATATGATTTAAATATAACTTGTGGTTTCACTTTGTCTGAATAAGATGTTGGATTGGAAAATCTCAAAGCAAAACCAAAAGAACTCTACCAAAAAAACAATATTTTAACATGGCTTGCTTTGGTAAAAAAGGTTTTTTTTCTCTAGTTTGGTTTGTTTTTTGGTTAGGTTCATCCTTCCAAACAGACAAAAAGTAAATATTTATTAAATATAGAAAATAATATTATTGTGGAGTCAAAGTAACCATGTACAACTTAAATAAGCTTTTCGGCACACACATAACTTTCTAATGGCTATATTTCTTTTGGGTTTGTACCTTTTGTTTTAAAAACAAGAAAAACATGAGCTATTAGAGGTCTTCTTGGGAAACAGCTTCTTCTACCATTCTTATATGTTGTCTAATTTACAGAAATACTTTAACTATATTACTACTGGTCATATAATGTTCTCTGTAGTGTAAAACTTTTTTTCTAACAGTTAATGTAATGGCAGGCTATTTTATAATGTTACTGAGTCCTCAAAGCTGTAGTAAATAAAAAAAAAATAACTTTTCAAGTATCTAGGAAAATGCAGCTTAGATTCAATGGTCTGTAGTTTTCTCTGTAAATAAGCAAGCAGCAATCTCTTAATGATCGCAGTTAACGAGGTTTGTTTGGAACAAAATATAAAAGAGATAGGAATGAAACATTTTAAACAATAAATTTATTAATATAGTCAACAAATCTTTTATGCAAAGTTTTAGTTAAGTATAGTTTGGAAGAAACTATACTTAATGTTGATTGAAAACAGACAGTTCAAAGCTCTTAATACACAATTAACCAATTAAGTCTGATTTGTATGGAAAATGGTTTTGTATAAAATCAATGTGATTGTGCCCACACAATCATGGTACTCCTTCTGATATTTCAGTATCAGATATCAGTTATCTGATATTCAGTATCTGATATTCAGTTATCAGATATTTAAAATTAAATCATTGAGCTGTAGATGTTGGCACAAACAATATTAAGTTTATACTACATACATACTATATAAACCTTTTAGTTATACAAGTTTATAAACCTCATTACTTTATAAAAGAATCTTATATGTAGTTTATTTTTCTTTCATTTATTTTTCTCTCTAAATTAAGAGAGAAAATTGCTTTAACTCCAGAAATGATGGATCAAAAAGATTTCTGTAATAGAGTTTAAAAGTTTCTGAGTTGTGAAGTTGTTCTTGTGCTATGTCCCTATGTATCCACCGCTGACCAATGCTGCACACAGGACACGGGGACAGGTGAGTCTTTGTTGTGACTCCTTTTCTAGTGCTCTTTGACAGCTAGTATCTTCCGACTTGCATATAACCAGTCTGTGTTCTGTGTTTTTCAGTACATTTACTACTTTTTTTTTTTTTATAGAGGTTATTTTATGACTGGCAAGGTACTCACTTTAGGAAATGTGATCATATTGATAAGAATAGGCTTCCTCTGAGTCTGTTATGCTTTTCCACAAATATGAACAGTCCTGTCAGAACATAAAGCATTTACAGCATTGTCAAAATGTTAAAGGCTAGCCACATAAGCTCAACTTGTTTATGAAATCCAGGTCTTAATTTAGTTCTCCATAGATAAAAAGAATAAAAACTGTCAAACATATGTTTATCCTGGTGTATTATCACTCTTGTTGAACAAAATACAGGAATTTGGTTCTCCTTCCAGAAGGTCAACAATAATTGCAATTCTACACCATGCTGTTCTGATGCTCATCTGCAATTATAAATGAAAATTTATGTTTTCAAAGTGCCATAATCATAAAAAGTCACTACCTAGCATAACAATAATAAAATAATGGATGAGGTTATAAAACTAGGAGTGTGCTAAACATTGTGAATTAATTTTTGGTTTGTTAGCTGTAAAAAAGTCTCTGTGAATCTTTCAATAAATATTACATCTATTTATAAAATAATTCTAAAGAACTAGTATAAATAGCATTTTTTAAGAGATATTTTCATGTGGTAGTCTATTTGGTTGCATGTTACAATGACTTTCATGTCTAAGATGGAAAGAAAAATATAACCATAAGGAGAACTAAACTATTGGAGCTAAGTAATCTAAGGGAACATAACCAGACATCAAGAACTGTATATACATAATGCTGTTTGTGTGAACCCCTGAACACATTTTTCATCATTAAATGAGCACTTTTATACGAAAAAATGCAAACAAACTACCTGATGTTACTTCAATTCTCTCTCCAGCTACTTGTTATATTGAGCAATGGGGGTGACAGAGACATGAATTGAACAATTTAGTCTCACGTTTAAAGTAATCTTGCATTCTTTTTCAAACTGTTACAACTAAACTGAAAAATAATCTAAGTGATTAATCTCAGACTATGTGAAATTGTGTGTTTTCTGTATTTAGTGTTTTCTGAAATTTTGGTACTGAAGTTAACCCATCTATTTTACAAAAAATGCAGCAGTTAAACAGAAGGCTCCTTGTTAGCATTTTGCAATATTGCTTTACAGTTAGTGGGGGTACATGACAACATTCAGCTCACTCCAGAACACACTTGTCAATTCACAGCACTTGGCGTTACAATGAACTGCTGTTTTGATTGTGCATATTTCTCACTTGGTAGTAGTAATAGTAAAATTTGGGTTCTTATTGATTTTTTTTAACATGGTTGACTAATTTTTGGCAATGGAATTGAGCAAAACATGTTGCATAAATTTGACTAGGGTGGCCTTGAAAAGAAGCTGACTGCTGATCTGCTTTGTATATTTCCTCCTGTTTTCAGGGTTCAGATTATTATTTTTTTCCTGTGCATATCTCAAGGAAAATCCATTCATACCATGAAACACTCTGATTCTATTGTGACGAAAAGCAAGCTTTAAGTATTTTTGCCTTGTACAGGAAAAAGATGAATGAAAAGTGAGATATTATCAACTGTTTATACCCTGGTTTTAATTTATTAGCTAAGAGTACATATAATAAAATCCTCTGGAATTAAAAGCCTAATACTTCACTGCTGCTTATTGTAACAAATCAGATGTTATTTTGTAAAGGTGGTGGTACACCCCAAGGCCATAACTGAAGATCAATAGTAAAGACCTAATCTCTTCTTTGAAAACTTTAGCATCTAAATACAAATTTTAGAGAATTCTGACTGATATAGATGTGCCTTCTTCCAGTACCCTGGCTGCCCCAGAAGAGCATAACTCAACCAGGACCCTGAAACAAACTTATTCCCACATAAATTCTTCCTTTCTGTTTTTTGGACTATCCAGTCCTAGTTTACCAGAGATGAGGTACAATTTGCAACAAGAGGGACAGAAAGATAGAATGGGTCTGGAGGCCTGGGAGAGTGTCTGAGCTCTGGGGCTCTTATTATTGAGATACTAAGAAGGAGAATCTCTGTATGTTGGGAGAAAGGTAAAAGCTTGGAGTTAGTGCTCTCTCTTGATGCAGAGACACATACATTGTCAAGTGTCTTGGAAAAGAAATATGGTTTTTCTTTTCCTACTTTAAAAAACATGGTCCTGAAACCCTAAAATAGCTGTCAGAGGTAAAATTAGAGGCAAAACCTAAGTCTCCCTTATAATACTCAAAAGTTCATAGCCTCAGGCTGCTCAGCAGATAATCCACTGCTGTTAGGACAAATTTACTTCTTACTGGGAAGGGAATAAATAGGAGTCCTGAAGGCTCAGCCCTTCTTGAGGAACTTCTCTGCAGCCCTGCAAAACTGCAGAGAATGGCTGCCCTCCGCTTTGGCACACTGTCTGAGGGAAAGCTGTTGGTCCATGCCACGGCTTGCTCTGAAGGCAGATGGCAGGGAGTCCCCAAAGCATGGATACAGGTCAGGCCTGGCTTACCATGACACTACAGTGTGCATAGAGTGGCACTGTTGTGACAGTCACCTAATGCGTGACTTTATCTTCAAAAACTTCTGAACAACTTAAATCAACCCTACACGTATTACAAAAAAAAGCAAGACTGC